CATATATTGCAAGTTGATGTTAAAGAATTGCACGGACATGCACTCTTTTCGACATAACGTGTTACAGATCTGCCGGATAATACGAGCTTAAAATATTACACTGATGGCACTCAATAAGATAATGTTGGTGTGGTGACGATTCATCTTTTGTGATACCCGATGGTGAAATATCTAACCTAATGAATCCTTTCATCATGATTTAGTCTGATTAATTATCTTTTTAACTTGTTTTTGTTAATGAAATTCAATTTTCTTTTCAGTTTGTGATTATTAGAAAGTTTTATTACAATATTTAAAATATTTTTTTTTTATGTCAGCCTATAATTCTCTATCAAATAACCTGTTTTTTTATATATCAAAACTCTGTTTCATAATTCTGCGACAGTTTATTATATATTGTTCAAAGATAAGTTTTCATATTAGAAGAAATAGGCGAACATCAACTGGACTTCAAATTGTAAAAAAATCTTTAGACGTTGTAGCTAAGGAGTTATATTGTATAGATATTGTATCCTAAGTGTATACAAATTCTGTCTACAGTAAGTACGTATATAAGTATTCTTTGCACGGTCCTAATGCAAAAATCGGGTATTAATCATGTATCAGGTACCGCGGGTATCTGGTCAAATGCAAAATATAACTTTAAGTGAGAATGTAACCTTAAATAAATCAATTTAATCTATTATAATATAAAAACATAAATTTAAAAACCTATAAATAACAGAAATAGTAGATCCGTATCTTTATTCGTGCTCGGATGCGTCGACTGCCGTGCTTGTCAATAGGTCGTGACCCAACAACAGCCATTGTCAACAATGCACTTAGTTGCAAAAACAGCTATGAGTGTATACATTTGTTTAATATGATGAAACACTATTCTATACTAATTATAAGGAAAGTTTTGATTGTTTATTTGTTTGCATTGAAGCTACTGGATAGATTAAAAAAATTCACCTATGGGAAATTACAGCATATGCGGGTAATATAGGCTATAATTTACGCGAGCGAAGTTGCGGGAACACTGCTAATAGGATATATAAGTATATTTCTTGTGTTAAATCTAATTCTCATAAGGTATAACGAATTTTAATTTAATTTTTAGTACGTAATATTTTTACCAACGCTATATTAATAATCTTTAAAAATTGAAAAAATCATGTTCTACACACACAATTTTTTTATAAAAACTTTATTTAATATTATAAATTTATAGGTCAATGTAGAAAATCAACTTTTCTATAATCTCTAATGCTTTAGCTACTCATCTTGGAATGTATGTGATTTTATTTTTTGATAAGCGAATTATTACGATAAAGGAATGTATGTTTTTATTCAACATAGTAAAAAAGGACACAAACAAGTAATTTATAATAAAATAAAAATCAATCCTATATGAATGCAATGCATTGTACAAAAAAATGAAGACGCGGCTTAAGCTCGTTCCGCGTTCAACAATATCGCTCACGATTTGTTATTGAGCTTTGAATTTTTTAGTTGCAATAAAATGCCTACTCATCTATATGTAGGATATGTAAGTTATTTACAATGCACTCTTAATACGTATCATAATATAATTTGTTTTCAAGGTTGCGTGCCTGAAAATAATATTTAATCTCTCGATTGTTCTTTACCTGTACGTTAGTCATGTCACAGACTACATTTAATATTTATATAATTCGTGTACTATACCTACGTAGGTGGTAGCCGAACCCAGTCAATCCTAGAGACAAGATGCTTAGAAGTTATTTGGAAAGTTTTGAAAATTACAAATTAGTACGGAATCAAATTATTTATCTTTCTTTAAATTTAACAAATAGGAAATTCAGAAAATAATATATTCACTGATTATATTTGTTATTTTGTAGAGGGTAAAGAGTACCCGATCACAAAAATTCTCTCACCTACGGGAAGCTATATCATATCTGGGTGTTTGTCACGCGGATATGACGATAATTTAAACATGCAAAATCGCAGGAAAACAATTTGTGGAATATATTTTTATTTAGTTTCGCAATATAATTGAGACTTTCGATACTCATAATACTTGACGTGACTAGTATGTCTGCAGATTTCCATTTCATTCTTTCTCGTCTCATTGATATAATTCAATACAAAGAATAAGCCATTATTCGAGTCGACTACGATATTGCAAGATGATTATATTTGCTTTTGTTATATTATATTATCCAAGTTATTATGTGATTTGGATACTTTCATTTATTTCACTTCATAGAATTGCTTAATTCTTATTGCATACCTAAAATAAGAACACCTAAAGACGGACTAAATAATAATACTCGCCTATATTAGATTGCATTTTTGAAACGTGGACATTAACATAAGGATATAATTTTAAATATGGTCTTGGAGAATGGAGGGAATAGCTCATGTAGAAACAATATATTATACTAAAAATATAAATGCTTCTGGATGGAAAGAAAGACCAATAAGTAGATACTGTTAATGGTGAACGAAAAGAGAAGTTTGCTCAATACCATAAAGAAATGAAAAGCAAAAAAAATTAAAAGAGAAAAACGCTTGCAATTTTGCTGGTTTATATTTATTTTAAAGAAAGGAATATGAGATACCCACTCGCACAAACGTACTATGTTTAATGACACCTTTATGCTTAATGACAATTTTAATGGACATTTGTCGCAACTGGGTGAGAAAAAGCAGATAGTAGCCTAGAATTAGTCAGTAGGTTAGAGAATGCTATCTCGGACACCTGAAACAATTATTTTTTTTATTGAACCGTACCCGAATGAATCCTAAATGTAATGCGCATGCGCAAGCATCAAAGTATCAAATACTTACGATAGGTTGCTGTATTGTAGAGCTACATGCAATTACATCCACCTGGAGCACCTGATACGGTTGCATCTTTATACAAATAGACTTCTTAAAAGTACTTTCGTCCAATATTTTTGACCCTGTCACTCGTTCAAGACGTCTTTTGGATGATTAGAAGAACGAGAAAGAAACTTACCAGCACTAATGGAAGTAACGACATTCACAAAACCATGTCGTTACCAGATCAATACATTATAAATAGAGAAAAATAACTATGATCTTATAATGATAACACAATAATTTATTAATAGCAAAAGATAATTTTAAGGTATAATGAGTTTAGAAAAAATCATCCATCCATCCAGTTGCTGGACCAACTTAAGCCCAACTTTTCTTATCTGTTATATAATCAGGTTCCTTAAACAATTTTATTTTTTTTAATAAGTATTTTTAACAGCATGTTTAATCTGCATGATATCTAATTTCTTGGGACCTTATTGTAGAAACGCACACAAAGACCCCTCAATGAATTATTAACTTTTGCAGTCCAGTGACAGGCACTTTAATATACCTGTAAGTATTTATTTTACAGTGAAATAGATTATTTAGCTATATTATTTATTAAAATTCCTGTTTTGGTAAATCTTTTCTTGCCAATGTTATTGCGCGGATCAGCAAATAGCATAACCTTAATTTAACTTCATTACGTTTGAATTTTTATATACGCAAGGCATATAATAGGGAAATCGTCTCCTACCATATTGACCTGATCAAATTATAAGTTTAGCTTGTTGCTCGCAGACTATACAGGCGTTGTAGATATGTTAAAACTAATACACACAGCAACATAAAACTAATGACATTATTTTCGCGAATTATTATATAAATACTATCGTACTAACCTAATGGTCATGTGAAATGTCATACGACACAGCTACTTTAAAACATATACAAAGAAAAAAGATTTGATTGTTTGTTTGCTCCAAAACTACGAAGCCGATTTTAAAAATTCTTTCACGTACAGGAAGCTTCATCATATACGGGTGATAAAGGCTATAATTTACGGGAGCGAAGTCGTAGGCGAACAGTTAGTAAAGTTATAGTGTGTACTATATCTTTATCTTTATATACTACACATATAAATATATTTTTATTTATTTATTGTTGAATACCAAAATAGCTTAAGAGTCTTTTATATCCTTCAACCTCTTCACACTGTGGCTAATTCTACAAATAATATGAGCAGTTATGTGTCTCCTAATATTTTGTTAGCGGCAAATGCATTTTGCACACACTCCTTTCGTATTCGTAATACTCCTATAAATATCTTATAAAAAGGATTAAAACCTTGAACCCACAAATTTAGTTAGGTGGACGACTAACCATTTAAATACCCGAGATGCAAGAGGTCTGTCGAATTTTTCAAACTCTTATTACTTTTCATTACTAGTAAGAATATTTTCACCAATGTTCAAGCAATCCAATCAAAAACTCAAAAAGCTGAAAGATATTTATTAGTATAGCAATGCAAAATTGATAAAAATAATAACAAAAATATATATATATTTGTAAATTATTAGTACCTTATCACTATCAGTTTGTTTATTTATAATAGTAATTATATGTCACTTCCTAATTTTAACGATATGAAAATGAAACCGAGTTTTAACAAAAAAAATACTAATAACGACATCATAAAATCAGCAAATCAACAAGTGAACTAGATGATAAAAATAATTTGCCTATCAATTTATTAGATCTAAATATAAAAAGTAAGATATTCATTCATTCAAATCAAACTTCAAAGCACCAAATATTTTTGTCCCTGGCACTCCGAGATGGGACTCGAACCTGACCTTTCGCAATCCGGGCGCTCTTGCCAGTAAACGACCCAGGACCTTACAGGACTGAAGAATTTTTCAAGCAGTTGGTTACTTTTTCGCTACTTTTATAGAGCGTATTTTCATTAATGTTTAGGCAATCAATACTTTTCAGTATAGCATTGTGAATGCAAGATTGATCAAATATACTCGTAATAACAAGTATTAACTTACCTCTTAACAATCTTATATCAAAGTACCATATAATTTGATAAATCAGTACGATTTAATTCCCTTTATTATTTCGTGTAACAAACAAAGAAAGACCAAATATTTTAACGTATAAAATATATTTCTAAAATATTAACATTATAATTTATAACCTAACTAGAAAAATGCGCCAGGCGGCGATGGATATGCAGCGTCAACGTCAAAACCATCATATTCGGGAAGCCCAGGACCAGCGTTAGGGAACACTGAAAGATAAACAAAAATAAAATAAGTATTAGGTTATACCACATACGTTCCGAAAACCCATAGATTAAGTAGCTAAGGCACTTGTTTTATGGTAATCTGGAAAAATGTAGGTAACACAATACCAAACCCGAGTAAGTATAGAAGAACTCGGGACCTTAGCGATGGCATTATCTTCGAACCGGCATACGAGCTATTCGAGTAGGTACTGAGAAATAAATAAATCAAAGGTAACAAGAATAGATTTAACAGCCCGACAAGTTAGCCAAAATGTCTCTACATTTAATATTAAACTTTAATGCAATGATGGTTTACTTCATAATTGATATTTTTAATGAAACATGCTTAAAAAATCCATCAGCCCAGGTACTCTGAGATGGGACTCGAACCCACGATCTTTTGCAATCCGGGCGATTCTGACACTGAGCTACCCAGAACCCAACAGATCCAGACCCAGAAGCTAGATATCGTAATATAACATATTTAATATCACTTATTGCTACTTTATAGAATAGAAAATAAAAACATAATATGAAAAATATACTGTGAACAATGTACAGTAATTAATTAAACAAAATATACAATACATAAATGTTTTAAACCACTTTTATTCTTTATTAAAAGTATTTATCTGTATAGTTACAATTGTTTTATTTTTGCTAATATAAATAGCTCTTGTCATTCTTTAATATCAAATGGGCGCATTTTTGAGCTACGACAGTGGTAATATAGAAATAAACATTAAAATAGCATAAAAATGAAATAATAATTTTCATATAACATTTAATAGAAATCAGAGAATAATGAAATTGCATGTAGTAATATTAATCTATTTGACTGAATGAAGGATAATGACCAGATGTCATCCTAATTAAATGGTTAGTAATGTATTATTTATGATACTTGAGGTGAATTTATGAAATGTCAACCAGCATAAAACATAGTATTTAATAATCAACATTTTAGCCGTAGTGTTGTGAAGCAAGTATTCGATAAAAAATAGTTTGAGAATGGTAAACCATCGCTTTAAGTTAGTTTTATTGACCCAAGTTTGTTTGGATGTTATAAGTATGGTAATAAATAAAAGCAGATTGAAATTACAATATCCAATAATCAAACCACCCAATTGTACTGTTAAAACACGAATCAAATTTATATTGTACTTGTTTAGAGGAGAAGCGAGTATTCAAAAAATTAGTTTTAGAATGATAAACCACCTCTCTAAGTTAGTTTTAATGGTCTTAGTTTGTTTGGTCTCATATATAGTCATGAAAATAAGCAGAACTTAATTACGATATCCAAAGAACCAATAATCCAACCATCCCAATGGCACTGTCAAAAAGACTGACCATAATAATTTGAGGACACCTCTACTGGTACTGGAATTGCTTTCACCACGTTTGATCTAACTTTGTGTTGCGTTGGTGGAGCTGGTGTTATGTACACCGTTTCGACAGGCTCTGGTTTATCTATTGGATGACACTGTTTTTGTATTTTAGAAATTAGGACCGTTGTTATCATAACTTCAATGGCATAATGACATCATAACTGTAGTAATTTTTAAGCAAAAAATCATATTTCTGAATTTATAAGATGTTTACTTGAATTGCTAAAGCCATCATATTTAATTAACTTATCTTTAAAAACGAAAAATGCTCATTCATAACGTCAATCATATCACTTGCAAGTGTTTTTCTTTTAACATATGTTATAATAATTAAAAGGAAAGGATATCCTATAAAAAAATATTCAGTATGTATGATACAAGCCAAAATTGGTCCTATTTCCGCTGTGTTACACGCCATTTACACAAGGCCAATAGCCGAGACAATCCAGTAAGCTAGTCCAGTAAAATAAGAAACCATTCTATTTCATTGGACTCGTTTGATTACTGGCTTGATGATTGTCTTCTTCTACAAGGGTCGGATACTAAACTGGCTTACAGGATTGTTTTGGCTATTGGCTCGCTTGATGGTCCATTGCAATAAAATACTCACGGAAAGGGTCCGGTCCAATATAGGGCTGTGTGAAGTATTGCCTAGGTAATTCTACTGGTACTGGTATCGGTTTTGGCACCGGTATCGGCTTCGGTACGTATTGTATGATCGGTTTGGGTTGTGGCGCTGGCGTCGGAGGTGGCGCAGAGTGGACGCTCGGCCCAGTCTTTGATACCACGGCGTTGAACCCACGGACCGGGTCTGCCGTGTAATCCACGGTGCGGACGGAACCGTCTGGCTCAACTAAGGAGTACTGACCTGTAAAAACATTGCTTTGACAAAGGATTCACATTTTTCCTGTTCGCTCGAATCGGTATTGTTACCTTGAAACTGTCCCTGGTCTACATACGACTGCTATTCAAATTTAAGAAACTTCACAAATATGGCTCTGATGCCAAATGTAGTGACAAAAGCATATATCGATATTTCTGTGAGAAATGGTCGTAAATTATATTTTGAGCGATAACAACTTAATAATGCAGGATATATTATAAAATTTTAATTTTTAAAGATACAATATCTAAATAAAATGTTTTAATCCCATGTATTTTGTTTATTCTAAAACACTGCACTTTTATACTCAATTATTATATTTGATTTATTTCGCATTCACAATGCTATACTGAAAATTATTCTTAATACAAAATGCTTAAAAAATCCACTTGGTCCCTGGCACCCTGAATTCTCATCTCTATCGAAAGTTTCAATATTTGTAATAATATTTCATTCAGCTGTTTGGGTGGATGCCTGACATTGATGAGAATACGCTCTGTTGTAGCGAAAAGTAACAAGTGCTTGAAAGATTCTTCAGTTCTGTTAGGTCCTGGGTAGCTCAGTGGTTAGAGCAGTCGCCCAGATTGCGAAAGATCGGGGGTTCGAGTCCCATCTCAGAGTGCCAGGGACCAAGTTGATTTTTTAACCATTTTGTATTAAGAGTAACTTTTATACTCAAGTTGTATTAATGTTAACGATCTTTCTTCCCCGAGATATCGATATCTAGACTACGATTAAAAAAATGAATGAATCAATTGTTTGCGTGTTTGTTTGCATTGAATAGGCTACGAAACTACTAGGTCGATTTTAAAAATTCTTTCATATACGGAAAGCTACATCATTCGCGGGTGACATTGTCTATAATTTACCCGAGCAAAATCCCAGTAAAACAGCTAATATAAAAAATAATAATTATACTACCACGTCCACTCAGACACAATATTATATTGAAAAGTTAGTATTTAACATTACCGAAACCTTGTATGAATAAATGAACGATGATTTTATTTGCACTAATCACAACAAACATGCTATTTCGACAGGTTTCGCTCGCTCACGATGGCTACGACATTTATGAATTAGCTTTAAGTCTAATATAATTACATGTAAGAAGATCGTTTGTAGCTATTATGACAGAAATAAAGTGATTATTCTATTCCTAATCTATTAATACGCATTGAAATAGTTTAATTACAAAAACACAAAATGTAGGCGTAAATTAAAATAAACATATAAGTATTAAATTATTACTAATTATAAATGAAATTGTATTACAAGTATCTGAAATTTAATTATATTTGAAAATCTTGTTAGAAGCAAGATATAAAAAGCAGTATCATAAGCAGTTTTACCGTATATACATTTACTTTGGCTTCCATATTAACAAACGTAGTCAGCGGTGCATTTTACAAACAATGCAAAAGACTCGCTAACAAGCTGATTTAATCAGCTGGGAATAGATTTGTAAGGATACAATGAACACACGTACATATGGAAAATGCGCAAAAACTAAGTTTCATTCACTCATACTGCTATCATTAAAGGTGAACGTCCACTATATCTGCTTGAACATAATAGATTTTCCATAGCTTTGTATGAATTATTATAATAAATTTGTAGAGCACTCCATGAACTATACATGCTGAAGCATGGAGTAACTCGAGATAATATTTTTTAGTCACCAATCGACCCTAGCGAAAATTGGATAACAACAACGATCGCGGACCGAGGTGCTTATCCACTACACCACCAAGCTACTCAAACGACTTTACGCATAATAAAAAATATTTTAAAAATCGGTCTACAATTCTTGGAAAAATCGGTGAAGCAGTGGACGTAAGACATTGGCAAATCCGTATATATAATTAATAATCATGCGTACGTTGAATGCGTGCAGACATAGTGGACGTTCATCTTAAATCTCTCTCAACTAAATTTGCTCCAAATTATTGAAGTTGGAAATAGATTTCAAACACGGGGGCCGTTTTTTGTGAGATAAGTTAGAAAATTTAAAAAGTTGTAGTATCTCCATTATAAGACATATCAAAAAAAGAGATCATTGTGAAGATCTCTAAAATTTTTTATATTTTTGAAAAAAAAATATTTTTAATATATTTAAGAAAACAGACAAAAATTCTCCTTTGATCTCCGAAACTGTTAATCATAGAATAAATAAAAGAAAAAAAAGAGATAATGGTTAAATATTTATAAATTAATGGAATCATCTCATTGATAGCAGCCGATATCGCGGCAATTAAGCTAAAAAATATAACTTTTTATTTTAAATCAGTTTAGTTTCATCATCATCATCAACCCTTTTACGTCCCCACTGCAAGGGCTCAGGCCTTCCTTATGGATGGTTAAGAAGTTTAGTTTAACTAAATCTAATAAACATAAATATTTTTTACCTTTAACTACATCACCCTCTCTAGTTTCATGTTGTGATTTAACATCCCCAGTATGAGGATCGGCGACTCCATAATTAAAAGCATATCTTGGCTGATCCTAAAATCAAGGATGACACATATGAAAATAATAATATTGATTGATAACTATAATAAACTGTTAAATTTCAGAAGCATTTAAATTTTTTTTTTCTATAATTTAACAAGAAATAAACTTTTTATTCAAATAAAAATAAAAATTCAGTACTTCTCTTACGTAGTAATTATCGTATCCCGGTTGGAATACTGCTAATTTAGGCTTCGCTTGCACAACACCAAACACAACCCCTAACAACAAACACTGCATCCAACACATTATGGAGTTATTTTAAATTATTTATCTAGACACGTCCAGTCCGCCTAATGTCTTCTCCCTGAATACCAGAATGGAGGTTTCCCAGGCATTTATACGTGGCCTTATTTGGCAGTGAGTGTTTGTATAGGCAGCCTTGGGAGGCGTGGCGAGCAAGCAGCTTCCGAAAACGCAGTTTCCTAGCGCGGACTTCGCGACGTTGACGACTAATTGAGAAAATTTTCGCACGCCACAACACTATGGTCGTAGATAATGGTGCAATTGCGACACTGGAGTAACTTTATTATAGTAACCATGGAATGATAATTATGAACTATACTGTGGTATGGTATTTTGAGAAGTTTTAATCTTTGTACCATGCTCATCTGAAAGTGAAGAAAACACTTTAAATGATGAAGTCGTAAAAGTTAACTCGAGTGCATCATTCCAGTATAAGAAATAATAGACGAGTGTTATTTTTTTATAATTTGTTGTAGTATTCTAAAGCTTTTATTTCTAATATTTTTCAACTAAATTCGTATCGAACTTCTTGAATTCAATTTCTTTTTAGTACAGAGTTATTTAAATTAATACTATTCGGTAATAAATACTCGAATTTCTTCTCATTTCTCCTATATGTCATAATTTCACGTTCAATCAAATATTTAATAAATCCAATTAGATATATGTATGTTTACCTTGCATCCTAACAGACTAATGCAAAAATATAAAGTATAAGCGAACTAAAAATTCGGCAAATGTCTCCAGTTAACCTTCATAAATATTCAATAATTGTAAAATATGCTTTTTTTACCCAATTTATTTGATGCAACACGGTGACAACCAATCTGCCAAGACTAAAAACTACACTTACGTAATTTAACTTAGAATTGTTTATTTAAATTACATTGGATCATAATATTCATAACTGGCCGACATATAACTATGATTTCTTAATAAATATCGTTCACAGTTTCAAATATTTGCACATCACGTTCATTTTGACCTAGTTATTAACTGAATAAACTGAGTCAAAACATATTCGCTAGAATATTATAGTCACAATTTCTTTGCCTAATTCCAAAGAGAATTTAATCACCCAAACACAATTATGACGTCCATAAACTAGATTTTGCGCACGAATCCAATATAATACAAGCAATGTCTTCACGAAAAACTAAACTGTTTCTCATTATAAACGATAAAAATATAACAACATTTTTAATAAAACTACAAAATATAGACAGACAATGATAATATTTAAATAACAAGAATTTTACAACATAAGAAAAAAACAATGATGCCTTAATTTAAAAATGGACACATAATTTCGGATTTTAAGTGCCTCTATTTCTTTTACCATAAACAGAAAGCATTTCATCATCATCATCATCAGCCCTTTTACCTCCCCACTGCAGGAGCTCAGGCCTTCCTTATGGATGGTTAAAGAGGATGGACCATGCCCCTCCACGCTGGCCCAATTGGAGGGTATTAACGACTGCAAATGCAGCCGGGACCAACGGCTTAACGTGCCTTCCGAAGCACGGAGTAGCTCGAGATAATAATTTTTTTGGTCACCCATCCCGTGACCGACCCTCGCAAAAGTTGCTAAACGACAACGATCTCGGGCCGCGGCGATTATCCACTACATTCATATTCAATTAATATAATAATATTAAAAAGTCGAAAAATTTTATGTTTGGATGTTTGTTACTTCTTCACGCAAAAACTACGGAACGGATTTGGATTTAACTTGATATACAGATAATTCTAAGTCTGAATTACCATATAAGTTACCAAAATTATCCCACTAAACAGTTCCCTAGGAACCACGTGGTTAAAAGCTGCTGGCGAACGCTAGTATATTAGAACATAGACAGACATTAGATAGTTTACAATAAATTATCGTTCTAGTATTTTTTCAATGGAGTCTAATACATGTAAAAACTATATAGTCAAATCATAAAGTATATGAGGTCAATAAAATTACAATATTCAAACTAATTCCTGATATGCTTATTCATCACCAACTAAGTATTACAAAATCAATATTATTATTCTTCAATTTGCATAATATAATAAATTACATCATTTGCAGAATCTGAATCTTTAATAAACAAACTTAAAAGTCGCTCTTACATGTATTTAGTAGAGTAACATTATTTTCGGCAGTGGCATAATATACCGATATTACATTAAAAGATAAACTAATGAGCAAATGTATAATTTTTGAACATTCGTACAATCGCAATAGAAGGAAAGAGAACAGCCTTTCCTTCATAAATATAATAATAGCAATAAGGCCCCCTTTTGCATCTATGTTACTTGTAAAATGTGTTTATCAAAATTTTTATTGTGTGTAATAAAGTATACATTCATTGTTATATTTAAAAGATGGTAAGGCTGTAGGCAACAAACATGATGTACACACAGCATCAAATGTGCCATAAAATGCTAAAGTTCTGTAATCTATTTCGTACTCTGCAATGAATTAATTATTTAAAAAATTAAAATAATATATCAAGAGATTATATTGAAATTTATTAATAATTTATTTTTTTCATATTTAATATTATATATATAAATATATATATTTATTTAGAATAATATTTATGAATACGCTTAATAGTTCATTAAATCTTGGAACAACTTTAATGTTTTATTATCATAGTGGTCTGTCATAAAGTATAGAACCTTTATATATATTTGTTATATAGACTACGAGCCATGACCGACCGTATATCAACATCTCTACTTAATTTATAACACTCGTACACAGTTGTAACCAACTCGTTACCAAAATTCATATGTATACCATTCTAGAATATGAAATCTGATATGAACATAAGAACTATATTATAAATATGCATACATGTTGCGTGTATAGAATATTCATAATAAGAGTCGTGGGATAGACTCAATGTCTTTTGTTTCAAACCATTTACTTAATATAAGCGAGGCAACCACCAGCAACTATGTCTTGGATATGTTGTGGTATATTGAGATACATTACACTATTAAATTGTTTTTATTTTATAACATTATAGCTGCTGCAAATAAATTATTATTTTACTTTTACGCAGCTAATAATGATTTAGAATTGTCGTAATATCATAATAAAAAAAAAACCTTTAATGTTAAATGTAGATAATTGCGTATGACTCTCATATTTCAAGATATCTACTAGCAATCGCTACCAATAATAATGTCAAGAGATATTTTTGACATCCATTTCGTTATAAGTTCTAAATTGCATACGGTCGTTTTTTAATTGATCAGGAAAATGTCAATGTCACCTTATTATGCAACATACAATTTATATGATCATATGTTTGCAATAATTTTCACAGTTAATATACGTGGATTGCTCTCTTAAAAACACAAATGTATTAATATTATTAGTATACAAATAGGTCCAAAACATTCTGCACCTCAAAGATCAAGCATTACTCTACAGTAAAATAAATTAAGCACAACCTATCACCAAGTTCTTACGAAAATCCATGCTTCTCGCTGGTTATGTTAGGACTTTTATTCCACGAGAGTCTTCAAATTCGCACAGAAAAGCATATAATATATAAAAATGTATGGGAAAGTCGCGTATTTTAATACTATCTGTTCCTTTACTCTTTTGTATTATGCATTGATTCAAAACGCTTGGTACTTCAACGCGCAGATGATTTGATTAGTACCTTTAAATAAGATATCGAGCAAAGCTCGGTCATCAAGTTACTAATTGTTATATTAGTAAAATTATAAATCAAAGCAAAATATAAATCAAATAATTCAATTTTATGTTTACATATTGACAGTTTTCTCTATTCGTTTAGTTCTTTGTCTAAAGACCACAATTCAGGAAAAGTATAAAGGAAATGTTAGAAGGATTATGACCGGTATTCGAGTTAACAAATCGTGATGCCCACGTTGTTTCACCAAACAAGCATTGTGTATGATAGAGCCGTTCCGCCATCGTAAGGCTAGTACATCCTGGGGATCGAACAATGGAGGGTCCCCTAATCAAATATTCTTTGTTGGCCAATTACTCGGAGCTTCTTGAAGGTAATTTGTCAAACATCACGGGGCCAATTCTACTAAATAAACTTTGTTTTGTAGAATTGGCCTCTTGATTAGTTCATCTAAATGTGTACTTAGTTTCTTATTATTTAAATTTAAATTGTAGCTTATAAAATATAAACATTTGTCGGTTGACTTTATTTTATAAGCTACAATCGGAATCTAGATGCTTGAGGGATGTGATCTTGAGTTAGCATGCAATTATTTTTATTATTTTCTAGAGACTAAGTTACCGCCTACGTTTAGTAGTTATCTTTGACTTATCATCTCTTTTGATTTTATTTATATCACATTCCAATACTTTGATGATCTTTTTATAAGATATATCGTTAGTCTTAAATTAAGATTATTTCTTTATTTGGATATCCAACTCGAAGAACGTTTGTCGCATAAATCAGAGTATTCTTTATTTAAATAATTTTTGGACCGATGACTCAGTCAATACACCACATAATAGAACTTCAGACTCAGATGAAGACACTGATAATGATGCTTTTTTCAATTGTTCCTGAAACTTCGATACCTGTAATATGTGTGTTAGTTTAGCAAGTTATCTGAGTAATGTGATTTTATTTTATTTTTTATTATAATAGACGTAAAAGTAATATCGTATTGAAATTGAAAAATACTTTATTCAAATAACAAATTCTTTTGAAACGTCCGATTTTTTCCTCTACCACTAGTTCGAGACCTCTTTTGGCTGAAAAGAAGTATCGACATTTACATCAATTTATATTAATTCCAATCTTTGCGATCCTTAAAATGATCATCAACTTTATAGTAGCCTTTACTCATAATTATATTCTTTAAATTATTTTTTGAGTTTATTTACAGGTAGGTAAATTACATTTTTTGGAACTTTGTTGAAGATATCAACAAACTTGTTACTATTCTAAAAAAAATCGATAAACAGCATATGAAAATTCTTTCACTTACGGGAAGCTACATCATACGCGAGTGTAAAAGCCATAATTTACGCGGATGAAGTCGCGGGAAAACAGCTAGTCAACTCTAAAATGCATACGACGTTGGATCATACGCCAACAGGAAGTTACGTTAGAAATAAATTATGTACTCACCATCATCATCACTTCAGCCGAGACGCCCACAGCTGGGCATAAGCCTCCCCCAAAGATCTCCAAAACGATCGGTCCTGCGCCTTCCCGCGACCTTCACCAGATCGTCGGTCCACCTTGTGGGGTCCACCTGTCCACCTACCAACACTGCGTCTCCCGGTACGCGGTCGCCACTCCAGGGCCTTACCGCCCCAACGGCCGTCAGTCCTGCGAGTAATGTGCCCTGCCCACTGCCACTTGAGGTTCGCAATTCTTTGGGCTATGTCGGTTTTAGTTCTTCTGCAGATCTCATCATTTCTGATTCGATCTCGCAAAGAAACCCCGAGCATAGCCCTTTCCATTGCCCTCTGAGCGACCTTGAGCTTCCTTATGAGGCCCATCGTAAGCGGCCACGTCTCAGTACCGTATGTTATCACTGGCAACACGCACGAATTAAAGACTTTCGTCTTGAGACACTGCGGTAGATGTTCCGAGAATACACTGCGTAGCTTCCTGAACGCTGCCCAGCCGAGTTGGATCCGTCGACTTACCTCTCTCTGGAAGTTGGACTTACCTAATCGGACTATTTGTCCCAGGTAAACGTACTCGTTGACAGCTTCCAGTGTAGAGCCTCCAATATTCACTGGAGTGGGTACGACATGGGAGTTTGACGTTATTTTTGTCTTCTCCATGTTCGTTTTAAGACCCACTTGCTGGGAAACTCTACAGAGGTCTTCGAGCAATGTGCCTAGATCTTCCATGGTCTCAGCCATGACTACGATATCATCAGCGAAACGAAGGTGCGTCATGTACTTGCCGTTTATATTGATGCCAAGTCCTCTCCTGTCCAAAAGCTTAAACACGTCCTCCAGTGCAGCAGTGAACAGTTTCGGCAATATAACGTCGCCCTATCTCACTCCACGCTGAAGTCGTATTGCTTTCGAGTTTTGGTCCTGGAGCCGAACTGACATGGTGGCATTTTCATACAGTGACTGCAGCACTTGGATGTATCGATAGTCTATTTGGCACCTCTGGAGTGACCTAAGCACGGCCCAGGTCTCGACGGAGTCGAAGGCTTTCTCAAACAACAAACAAACAAACGCCAAGCATAGTGGCAGATTATACTCTTCGATCTTCTGTATAACCTGTCGCAGCGTATGAATGTGATCTATGGTACCGTAACCTTTTCGGAAACCGGCTTGTTCAGGAGGCTGGAAGTCGTCAAATCTACGTGCAAGACGATTCGTGATGACTCTCGAAAACAGCTTGTACACATGACTCAGAAGCGTGATGGGTCTGTAATTCTTCAATTGGGCCCTGTCGCCCTTTTTGAAGAAAAGCACCACCACGCCCCTGTGCCATGCTTCTGGCGTCTTGCCCTCGAGTATGGCGGAATTAAATTTTTTAATTGTACTCACAACAATCGTTATTTGTCATTAAGTCTTTAATATAGCAGAAAACAAAGAATTAACAATATCATAGATTTCTTGGTTTGATTATAAAACGGTGTTAATATCTTTTTGTTTTCCGTTCTCGAGATGAGAACAAAGGGCACGTGGTATACTCAAACAAACGATACGTTTGCAACATAATAATGTTACCTATGAAAAATATTTTTATCGACCTTAACCATGATCAAGGCCGCCTAAGAAGGTCCATTGTTAAAGGCCTACTATGTTTGTCTACCAAGTAAAATTTCATTATCATTTAGGTCAAACTATACATTTACCTTCCGCTCCACCTTTTTTCAAATTAAAATATTGAACAGAAATAACTACAAATACTTATCCTTCGTATTGTATGAATAATATACCTATATTCGTAAGGGTAAAATTTACAATAAAATAAAACTCATGTTTTCTGTTTCGATATTTAATAAAATTTTAATCTATATTACAACTAGAACAACAATAACAAAAATGAAACAAATAACACTTAACAATTCATCGCATTTAGTCAGGTACATATTGATCTAAGAATATTTGAATATAAATAAATTTTCACTATAACTATCTCATAAGTTTTTGATTTTTACAAAATCGAAAACTTATCGATTTCCACTTACCAACTATTTTAAAACTACAGGCAATATCAAACAAGTAAAATATTATATAATTTTACAATATATATCAATCACGTTTATATGTCGGAATTGCAAATGAAAGTATTTCGATTGGTTTTCGGTTTTGCCGAACCAGAACACTACAAGACAGAGATTTATTAACATGCTTTTACATGTAAAACTGATATGCATTATGTGACTTCTGTAAAATGAACAACGCTGTCACAGCTGAGAGATTCGATCGAATAAATATTACAGGTTTTATTTCATTGAACCTCTTATCTAACACAACGCTCGACGCCGTCGATACTTACATAATAACAAAGCATATGTTTTCAATCGTGTAACTAACGTTCACTGAATGGCAGTTGCATGATAACAATTTTCAACGCTTTTTTTCCCTCATTTAATGTAAAAACAACAACCGAATCGGTTTATATTCGGTGATAAAAAAAAATGAATTCTGAAATCCAAACAAAATTGACTAAACTCGCTTTCAATGCAACAAGGTAAAAGATACACTAGTAAATTTTGTTGTTTTTTATTCGCATTCTGAAATAATTCATATGATACTGTTATCCCCAGAAGCGAAGCGAATATGGTTATTGCTTGGTTTCGCACGAAATTTAAACTTGCTCGGTATATTTTAACCAACAGGAATTATTTTCTTAATGGATGCAAGGAAAGAGAGACGAATGACTCTATGTCATAGTACTTATCCAGCGAATTCCTGTAGTAACATACAAAGATAAAAAATCTATAGTCTAGATCATGTTTAGTCTAGGTCTCTAACGAGATCTTGAAATATAGCAAAAAAACTTTCTTTTGGAATTCAGACAATAAGTTTAACACTAGCGCTCTAAAGATGCGCGGCTTCGTGCGGGGAGATCGGCGCGGTTTTGTGCACTACCGCGTTGAATCCGTTGTGTTTGTCAGCAGTGTAGTCCACTGTGCGGATGGAACCATCAGGCTCCACTACTGTATATTGACCTATAAAATATTATAAATATAAATAACATTAAAACATTTATAAGAATATTAAAAATTAGAAGACATTCAAAAAGTATAAGTAAATCTCGCCGCCATAATATTTCAAATCATTAAAGCTCATTGTTTAATGATTTGAAATGAAATATCAATATAAATATAAACGACGATATAATTAATAATAATGTTTATGCGATGGCTATCAGAATATTTAATAAAATACCTGAAGAAATAAAGCAATTGCCGTTTAGTAGATTTAAGAACCTGACTGATTGAACTGACATTGTACTCAATGGAAGACTCTTTCAGTGTTTTTAATAAAAAAGGTAGACACTACTTAAACCTAGTCAAAAATCATATTATTAAACAGAGACTTAGGAAAGGTTTACCTAGTACGAGGTTCTCCGGGAGTAATATTTACTCCCAAAAGGTTTACTTATTTTCTGTATAATATGAATTTGGACTAAAACTGCGATTTTAGCGTTAATTTACTCTGACGCTAAACCTTGTTTATTAATAACACTGTTTAGATATAAACCTTGACTAAATATTTTTTTAATATTAGGATGACATCTTAGATTATAATTGTCGTTGACATGTTAAATCGGTTATATATTTAAATATGTATTTTATTTTAGTTTTACGAATTGGTATTTAATTTTAGTAATTTTGTATCCATTTGCATATATATAATGTAGCTAAATTGGTATAAGCTTATTAACTTGTAATACTATATAGTATAATCTGCAGAATCGTATTACTGAAACCTTATTTAAAGCAAATAAATAATTTAATTGAATTCAATAGACAAAAAAATGTTGGATAAATAACTCCGAAATAGCGTTCATCTATTTAACTGTCAGTTGCACAAACCTTCATTAAGGTTTAATGAGGCCTTAAGGATCTAATTAATGTTAAATATGTATGAGTAATGTCTTTTTAAACTAATGTCAAATTTAATATACGTTTGAACAACTGGCTTTATATCTGTTATAATAGACTTATTGCTTAGCTATTAATTTACCTTTGACGACATCACCGTCCCGACTTTCGTGGTGCGTTTTGATGTCTCCAGTGTGAAAGTCGTTTACGCCGTACTTGAAAATGTACTTAGGATACGCCTGAAAATGAGGAAAAAAAGCAATTTGAAAATTATCGTATTAGAATTATCACGTGCTTAAATTATAATTTATCTATATATATTTTAAATAAATATCACTTTTAAAATGTTCATAAACCTGAATAAGATTGATTGGGAGATAATAAACTAATAGCCAAATATTATAATCGATTGTCGGTTACCAATTCGATTTAAGTAGGTAATGTTTTAAATTCTTATAGCATTTTAAACGTAACATCGCTAATGTACTGTTATATGGTTTAGTAAACCTTTTCAACATATTAACAAGACGAAGAAGTGTCTTCGGAAGCTACACACGAAGCGTACAGAGAAACCGTTTATGCGTTGAGCGCAAGGTATTATGCAATAGATGTTAAGTAATTCAATTCATGAGCAAACAGCGGAACAGTGTTTTTATATTTCTGCAAGTTTTTGTATTGATTTGTTTATTAGTTTTAATAAAATTGACTTTATTAACCTAGAAGCAAAAAGAAAAATAATGAATAAATTTACTATTTATGATCTTATGCAAATTTAAAACTAGGATATTGAAACAGGACAGTTTTTTCTAGTTATTGCCCTTAGTGTTGCTAAAGAGACCTTACACCATTTCAAACAATTTTTGAACATATAATATTGAATACTTAATTAAAGCACAATCATTTGCCAAGCATAATTTGCTTAGTTGCACAAATGTTAAATTAGGTTAAGGTTTAAAGACAGCTTTAAGCTCTAATGAATGTCAATTTTGTATAGGTAATGAAAATTTTAATGTACGTTTGTGTGAGTACGTATGGGTCAAAAATGTTATAATATTTTTCGACCATCAGTACCGTAATGATGGATTAGCAGAACGACTATAACAAAACGACCGAATGGATAACGCTTTTCGCTTCGCCATCGCGTCGATTAAGTATATTATGGACTGTTTTTTTTTAACTAATATATAAATTTTATTAACAAAGAAAAAACATTGAAATAGTCGGCGTTACTTTAAGTACATATCAGTATTTGATAATATAAATCTTTTTCGGAGTTCTGTAATTAAGCTTAACTGTTTTAGTCAAGATTCAAATTTAAAATGTATGAGAAAGATTTTTTAATCATACCATCCATATGTTAAAATAAATATATAAAATGTAGTTTCCGCTACCTCCTATACTTGCGCCATATACCCATATCGGGCGCAATGAACTGATAGACAATACGTTATTCAGGCAGGAAGTTTGCGATCTGATCACCAATACGTGTTTAAATAGATCCTAACTTCTTATATGGCCAGACTGTAATTTTACATTGTTCAGTAGAACATAATCAATAGACGGAAAGAGATAATTATTTTATTCAATGTCATTAAAGCGTAATATAAACAAATCAATTCAATATACAAATGTACGTGTCTTTTAAGTAACCATTCTTTATTGCACAACGAGAAAAGATATTAACTATCTCTTTCAAGCGATTTCTTCCAGGCAACCAAACCTTGTACGGAATAAGAAGAATAAAGAGCAGATTGTGTATGCGTTAAAACGACATAATTCCGAAAAAAACAGACAACAAATAAAACAGTCGTCGTAGTGAAAGGGACTGTATTTACAAAAGGTACCTACGTCTAAAGTGCGTGAAGACGGAAAATAAATAGGTATTTATAATATGCTATGAAGTTTCAAATCCCTTTGCTAGGATTTCACTTTCATAATTTATTCGGTTTTTCATATTAAGTCTCGATTGGGCTAATTTACTTTAACAAAAACAAACATGTTAAAGTACCGGTGAAGCAAATAATCAGATGCACCATTTGGCTATAGTTATATGACGTCATAACTTTAACTGTTAATTGCAACCGCCCAAGCTTTGTTGGTTAAAGTTATAACTATCTCAAGAAAGAGGATGATGCAAGGCATTCCACAGTTAATGTAAAAGTCAATTCTTGTCTAAAACCTTAGCTTTAACTGCTATTATGGTACAATCCAGCCTTCTTATCGCAAAATCTAACTAACGACCTTCCTCCATTCCAAAAATCCATGCAATGAGCTCTCCTTTCGTGCGAAATTTCAGCTCAATCTAAAAACGTAGTGTTACGACCATTATTTTTTCAATAACCCAGTGACAGCAGTTGCACATGAAGTGGCATAGATAATAGAACCAAGGTGAGGAAAGCGAATGAAAGTGCAATCAACTAGTAATTCTAACCGACAACACCGCTACGAAATACGATAACTTCGTATGGCAAAAGGTTTCCATTACAATCGATGCTTACACTAGATGGACAGTTTTATGCAATAAGTTCATAATTATTTTCTGTATATATCGCAAATTACTCTTTACAGATGAATGAATCCATCTAATTTGGCAAACTTTCAAATCATTGTTATCATCAGCCTTGCGATTCTGTAAAAATACAAACTTGAATTCGAATTCACTCGGATGTTCGAATCCACTACTAAAAGCGACATCCGCTTAATCTTGAATTGATGATACGTTTTGTGGCATAAATGAAGTTGAGTTTAGAAATGAGATAGAAATAGAGTATCTGAGACACGTATATCCAATCAATTTTGGTTCGTATTTTTACATGATAATTGGAATCAATAGAATTTCTACTCTAAATGAGGTAAATCCGGACACATGAGTGAATTCGGGTCTGGTGTTTTTTTAGAATCATAGGACTGTCTGTTAATTTTATACATGGGCCCAATGGCCGAACGACGTTTATCTGCAGCTAGAACCCCGTACATAGACATTAATTTTCACATACTTAGTAAGAAATTTTAAGTCAATCCACTCGATATACAGGATATTTTTTGATTTCGTAGAAATAAGGTATTTGCAAATTTTAAAGGTTTAAGCATTTTTTAACAATGATCAAATATATAAAACTTACATAATAGTCGACATGCTCGTCCTCCGATATGTACCCGATGCGTTGTTGAGGGTGGACCGCGTGCTGCGGCTCCGACGGTCGCAGGTATGAGATGAGGCGCGCGTTTGCGCATACTACCATCATCAATGTCACCAGTAACATCTATAAACGTTCAAAATTACAGTTAAGTTATCAATTCATGTCAAAAGGCCATAAGTCAATTTGATTCAATAATCGCATAGAACAGGGGTCATGAACTTGCGGCTCTCAAGATTCATTTCAAAATTAGTTAAAGTTTCATTTTGCTGTTGAAGACCTTTAAATCGTGTGAGCTATCCACTGTTGAGTATAATACGATTGACATATACTAACTATAAGGAGGTCGATGGCGCAGTGGTTAGCACGCTCGGTCTGTGCTGGTGCTCAGATGTACTTTTGAAATGGTCAGTCATAGGATAGGTGGCCAAACATTTACTATCTCGAACTCCTCCGTGGTTTGGAAGGCACTTTAAGCGGTTAATCCCAGATGCATTTGCAGTTGTTAATACCCACCAAGCCGCACTGTGCTCTCTTGGTGGGTGGTCATGGCCCATTCTCCCTATTCGATTCAAGTGGGAACATTTTAGAGCTGGTAATGATGATAGTGGTGATGGCGTTGGCACTGCCATATTTTCAAAAGTTTTAAAACATTTCTTCTTAAGCGGATACTTACTCGTCAGCGGAAATAAATTGGATCAGAAGATGGTATAATACGTGTCAAACACAATTTTTAATAAGGTAATTACGCCGTCACAGCGCGGACTTTCTATGAAATAAAACCTTTTAAAGTAGGTATTATTTCATTGAACGTCTATGCTATGATAGAGCTTGTTCGAGGCTATTATATAATAGACTAGCTTTGCGCCAGCGGCTTTGCCCATTTAGTCCTGTGTTATACATAAAAACCTTCCTTTTGAATCATCCTATCCATGAAAAAAGACCGAAAAAAAATCAGAATCCGTTGCGTAGTTTTAAATAAAGGGATTTTTTTTTTAAGTGAAGTGTGAAGAATAAATATAAAAATTTAAAATATTCCTTGTTTTCTCAGTAATCTCCTTCATTTTAAATTATGCTTATATTTATGTTTTTATTGCTAGAACTTTAATGTAACATTTTAACTATCCAACCGTATTATCTATTGACAGTATCAGTTTTCCGTAACATTTAAGTAAGTAACATGCTAAATTTGCTAATTAATGACCGTAAATTATGCACGATCGGTGTAGGGAAACATTCGATAAACGAAGGAAGTTATTTTATTGAAATGTTCGCTCCTGCTCACTAGTATATTTTATCTATACTAATATTTGTTATTTTGTATGGGGTAATCTTCGGACATACTAATTGTATCATAAAAATTCACATACGGGAAGCTACACCATACGCGGATACAATAGGCTATAATTAACGCGAGTGCCTAAAAATTAAATGAGGTTTTTTGTCGAAATAAAAATAAATGAGTTTGTAATAAACAAAGAAACATAATAGTGACTTAATATGCAGTTGTTTTTCTGTTGTAGCCATTTTAGATTTAGAATTGTTTCATGATGGGTTGTAACGCAAGGTTCTCAATTCTACTGCATTTTTTTACTTCACGATATCCTCGTCGACATTGAACTAATTGTGATGTTGAACAATGAGTAAACTATACTAGTGAAGTAATTCTGATCATTCTGATCACTAAATACACTTGTAGACGTATCAAATTGCGTTCTAAACTCTGTAAATAACTTAGAATAACACAAGCGAACTTATTATTTATGATATATTATAGATTAACAATTAAAACTAGAAAATCTTAATTTTAGAGAGTGGAACAGAATCGGTACCTAGAATGAATCAAGCTTACTGATTGTTAATGGTTAAGAGCAATAGTAAAAATAATCCCATTATTGTCATTCCATATATTGAATAATACAAACAAGAGACGTGTTCTTGCGTTAAATTATTGTGTTGTCCAAGACAATGTGATAATTATCTTTAGTACCAATACGTTTAAAGACAAACAAAGATTGCTTTTTCAACATTTCCCATACTTTCGATGAATACAAGTTATCATCATTACGTTGAATGTTTTTACAGAGAGTTACGACTTTATACATAACATGTTTTCACTTGTAATAATGTTGCGATATGCATTTAATAAACTAAGTATATAAACTATTTTTCTTAGAACGTTTAATTTGACTGTTAATCTAACATGATTTATATGTTTAGATATATATGACACCATATTTCTAGTAGCTAAAAGGTAATAAAAAACAGTAGTCAAGCCTGCTTTCTTGTGACTTCGCCCCCGGTAATTATACCCGGTAGTTACCCATATGAAAGGATTTTTAAAATCGGCCCAGTAGTTTCAGAACCTATTCGTCGCAAACAAAGAAGTCAGTCCTCTTTATAATATTTGTATAAATACTATAATATAGACAAGAAAATAATAATATAATTTTTGGAGTCTATCTAATGCAAACAAACAAGCAATCAAATCTTTCGTCTTTATATAATATGTCTTATTATGAGTATAGATTACTGGGAAAAATTATGTCGAGGAAATAACAAAACAAAATTGTCTTTATTGTATGTATTTTGATCAATTTTGTAGTTGCAGTACAATACTGAAAAATATTCTTAATGAAAAATGCTTAAAAAATCCTTTTTCCTTGACGCTCTGATATAGGAAGACCTGTTCTAAGACTTTCACTATGTTGAACACTAAAAACCATGTTTTTTTTTAAATAGAATCTTGAAACTTCACGAAAGTGATAAATAATATTAATATCAAAAGTGACTTATTCAAGAAAATGCTATTGAAGTCAGACACCTATAATTTAATTAATAACCTACAGAAAACCTTCGCATTACATGAAAATACACGACGCATGAATATACATAATCGATGTTATTCTCGCGAATCGCGAGATAGCATATTTTCCTCGAGTATTTTTTGTCATTATTTTACTTAGTTGCTTTGTATAGAGAAATAATTTATTTGATCAGTTCAATTTTACTTTATCTGTGACTTAATTTAGACACCTTATTATGTGTGGCAATAAAGGTTAATTTCACATTGAAATATTTACTATAGCTAATTCTAACAATGCTCAAAGTTAAGACTTTAAAATATAACCAAAACCAAGCAGAACTATTGGTAATAAAAAGAATCGTTACTCATATTGTTGCGCTTGCTAAATTCTATTTACATAAACTAAAATAACGTAAATGCTGTGCACAGTTAAACAATAAACGCTTAACTTTAGAACATTTCGACTAACTTGATAAGCGTTTTTTAGAGTCCAGTAGCCAACGAATACCTTCGCTCCACTGTCTTTCCTCCTATCTGTCATAAGTTGTATCAACCTACACAACAGGTATATAATTCGAATTCTGCAGATTGATTGTTAATAATGCCAACATTATAAATATTATAATAATGACTATTATGCGATGACGACGTGAAATCCTTCGCGTGACAAGTTCGATTAGCACTTATTAATTCTTTTTATAAAACTAAAGGGTTTGGGTACTGATTAATTATTATAGGGACTTAAAGAATAAGTGATATATTTAGTTCTTTAACTGTCTTAAAAAAGGGATAAACAGAATCAATGAATGATACTGACATATAGCTAATATAAAAGTTTATAAACAAAATAAGTATACATTTAATGCCCGGTTTATATCAGCTGGAATGCCGCTGAAATACTAAAAACTCACACTCGCAATAGATCCATCAGCAATCCAATACCAACATTCTAATGCTTTTTTACATTATTCCAGAAGCATTCTAGCGCTTGATTCGATGGCTGAATTGGAATATTGAAATTTCTCCGTCTATTGCAAAAAGGTCATGAGATTCAGCATGTTTTTGAATTTATCGTATCCAAATAGACTGTCGTATGCGAGGTATTGATTTGATAATGGTCATATAATTTCAATATATTGACTTCTTATTCATAGTATTGTTACCATAAACCACAAAAACTACAAAATAAGTTTCATATTTGTGACTGTGGAAGTGTTAAACAATGTAATTTTGTTGGACAGTATTTGATACGTGTCAGTACATTGTGTAATGGTTATTACGCTAATGTAACATTGTTAAGTTCACCGACTTAAAAGAATGAACCACATGGGAACGAAGAGTCACAGTAGTAATAAAAGTCACATTCATTTATGATACCAATCTACATCTTCTCGTAAAAGAATAAGTATTGTTTTACCTAACTACTAAAATTAGAAATTTTTATATTTTTGTCTCTGTCCGTAAATAAAGAATAAAACACAATTAACCTATTTGTAAATCGTATAGTTGGAACATCGTATATTTGTAATAATATTTAATTCTCACCTTTGACGTCATTATTGTTTTTATTCTATGGCAACACAAAATCAAGACACTAACACACCACTTGTCCGTAACCAAAGCTGTATATTGAATGTGTAAGTGAAATCTGGGAGTGAATTTATATGTAGAAGTTCGAAAGTGGGGTTAGAGCGAGAACAGTTGGAATAAAATGTTTATAATTCGATCTGATTCCCTGGATGGTTGTTAGGCTTAAATAATTATCTCGTGATGGTAATATATCATCAAATTGAACTCTAAATGCCGAAATTTATAAAACTTAAAACTACAAAAAGTATGATATGTAATCGCTATAATTTAAGCTAAAAGCGCAATTAAAAAGGTATTTCTAGATACATAACATATGTACGCAACAGTATAAATTTTGAATTTTGGTAAAAAAAAAAACAAATAATTAATAAACGATTATTTACGGACGTACGTATAATAATTCAATGAGAAATCCGTTTTACCAGTCAAAATCTTAGTTTAAATAAGAACCACGTGATGGATCAAGAATATGTTTATGAAATAAGTATTGTTAATCGTCACCTTACTCGCATTAACATAGGAAAATAATTACCTAAAGGTTAACATCCACTTTGTCCACACGAATACAACGGAACCATGTAGATTGTGGAGATTTGCTCACAGGATTTGCCTCATACGTACGTATCATCTCTCGGATACAGTAGAGACCGTATCCGGATTGTAAATAGAAGTACCATTTGACATAGCGCTACGAAATGATATATGGTAGCATATTGAAATCATGGAAAAAGTAATCACCACTATATCCGCAGTTTTACACTTTGAAACATCCGTTACGTATCGTCCGTCAATTGCGTGCGTGCTTACCGAGTGAACGTTCACCTTAAAGGTGCTTTTCAAGTTTCATATCTTCCATTGCAGCATGAAAGAAGGACAAATAAACAAACTATTTTTTCATAGTTTATTAATTGCTTATTAATGTATTATATTTTCACTGTTTCTCAATGATAAGAATGTAAATTGCCGTATAATATTTTTTTTTTAAATCAAGCTTTGATTTGTGCGCACGTAAATAAATAAACTCTACATTTAAAGTATTTATAATAAAATTTTTCTCTAACTGTAATTGCCTCGAAAAGTTTATACCGCTAATGAAATAGAAGACGTGGAAATACACATATTTTTAATAAGAATAAGATGGAATAAATGATATAGGATTATTGTAAAAATAACTTTGTAAAAAAATAGGCTGAAAATTTATTCAAAAGTATTGTAGGGTAGCCTCAGTTTTTTATTGGGTTCCACATGACAAAATTTATCAGACAAATTATAAATATAAGTTTCATATGATTTATTTGCGTCCCTTTTTCACATATAATTATATCTTTCATAAAAAAGTAACAAGTTACCTACTTAATGAAATAATCTGAAAAACTAGACTATATTAACGTAACGGCAGAAAACAGCAATCAAACAGCAAAGTGAGTAAATTACTATTACGTTACAATGAACATTATATCATTACGCCTAGTACTCGTGTATGTAAAATCATGCCCATGTATGTAATAAATAATTAGGGAACAATCATAAGCCATTTGGCAGAACAATTGAATATTTAGAATAAAAAAAAAACAGTCCTGCTGTTTAAGGATAAGTAATGGTAAAGATTTTGTTTCTTCTACATTAAGGATTATTCTTTTTCTTCGCACGTTATCGTGTATCGTAATCTTTCATCGCGTAATCTTCTGTTATAATTAAACTCTATAACACTGTAGAACACGGGAATCAAAACTGAGTAGATTCCTTCGTCTATTAAGGTTTGACGACGCCTTTAAGCTCTAATGAATGTCAAATTGGTATTTGTAATGTCGCTTTAAACTAATGGACGTTTGTGCAACTGGCTATAAAAGTTTCATATATTTCTACGTTTTCCGAAAAACCACTATGAGTGAATGTAATTATATAGTTATTTTTCATTAAGCTATAATTATAAACAAGGAAAGTGAGTAATCGTCTAATTTTATGCAACTAATGACTCGCTCTGGCTTGGCACATGCACAGAACAACTTTCAATCGCAGAAGTTATTTAGGTCAGAAATTCCTTGAAAAATTAAAAGTTTAATACTCGTAACGGAATCAGAAGCAACCCAAAGAAGCAACGAAAATGGAAATCAACAGAAAAAAACTACAATTGGCAAAATTAACATGACAGTTTTTATAGTATGTTTGTGTTATCGTTAGAGCACTGTTCAATACTATTCTTCTTTTAGTAATGTTCTACGGAACCATCGATACTCTAGTTCAGTTCAGTTAGCCGGTTTCTTCCAACATCATTTGACATGACAATGACCATGTCTCTAATCCTTCTATTAACAAATTTAGCTGCCTCTACAATGTATAATAAATTTCATAAAGATCATCGGCAAAAGAATGATCAGCTTATCAAAAGGTTTCATCTAATTTTAAGAAATTTTTAATATTTACTAGCTGTTTTCTTGCGACTTCACCCGCGTAAATTTATAGCCTATTTCACCAGCGTATGATATACAATTTTCTGATTGCACACCAGGCAATAATATTTCACTCATTGTTGTCATATTTATTGTTATTTCCATATAAAAGTATTGATTACGTAAAACTGAAACAATAATCAGTTGAACATATTATGCCGTAACAATACATTACCATTGCAAGACTTATTACAACGTAATTAAGTTTAAGTTGAGAAAGTAATATTTTTTCTTTATCTGTGTCAGTCGTTGATTAATTCAAATACATATCTAGTTACTTGAGAAGCTTTATGTCGCAGAGGTTAGCGCAAGTTAGGGGTTAAGCAACTTTCTCAAGGACCCGTCATAGGATGGGTGACCAAAAATTTACTATCTCGTGCACCCTTGGTACTTCGGAATTATTGGAAAGGAACGTAATACAGTTGGTTATACTTCAGAATAATAATTATTCTGAGGGTCATACATCTAAATTAGAGTAGCTCGGTGGCGTAGTGGATAAGCTCTGCGGCCCGCGATCGTAGTCGTTAAGCAACTTTCGCAAGGGTCGGTCACGGGATGGGTGACCAAAAAATTATTAGCTACTCCGTACTTCGGAAGGCACGTTAAGCCGTTGGTCCCGGCTGCATTTGCAGTCGTTAATACCCTCCAATCCGCATTGGGCCAGCGTGGAGGGTCATGGCCCATCCTCCTTAACCATCCATAAGGAAGGCCTGAGACCCTGCAGTGGGGACGTAAAAGGGCTGGTGATGATGATGATGACATCTTAATATCAACCATAGATATAACATTGCAGTTTATTACTTTTTGGAAGACAATACTTGTCAGTGTTTGTTGTCAAATATATACTTGTCAATTGTGCATTGTATTGCATCTAATTGCATCATATTAATGCTAAAATATATATCTACGTTACGTTTTATTTAGAAGATTTTATTTAGATCTTTTTACTTATACATAAAAAGGTAAGACGCCTTGTGCACTACGTACGCTCTAGTTTATACTAATTCAGTAGCAACTTAATATGTATTCGAGTCAGAAATATTTCGTCATAGCTTCCGGAAACACAAAAGCATAAGAACTTCACTTTCGCTATGGATAAATCGCTTAAGGTTCTTTCTAACATGTACGCCTGAATTGTATCACATATCTGGAACGACGAATATAGTGCCTTTATATACTTCAAATAGGTGCTAACCTTCCTAAAATAACTTGGATTATAAATCTTTATAAGTAAATTATATCCAATCCCATTTAAATCATAAAACCTAATAATGCACTTAATTTTTCCACAACTTCATATTTTTTAAAAAATCGGTCGAGATTTTACTATAAAAATCCAATCGCGCTCGAGGTATACGCTTATCAGTATTTCATTTGATATCTCCATTAAATAATACTAAAACAGTTCTATCGCATACGTTCTTGTAATATTAATATATTTATTCAGAAATTCCGATCCGTTATAAGTAGTGTACGTAAAAATTTAAATTAACGTTAATATTTTTACTTCAAAAGTTCCTGAATACGTCTATAATAATAAATATACCAACATAAATATCGTACTTTACAACGGGAAAACTCAAAAAATCATACTCTACACAATGTTCCATTACGTTTTTATTACAAAGTTTACGTGAACAGATGTTAGTCACCCACAGAGGTGAAGGTATTGTGTTTAACTAGAAACTAGTATAGTATTATAGTAACTCTACTAACAACTCCATCATATATATACTAAATATATATTATTTTAACATTATTCCAATAGAATATGTGTTTAAAAAATAATTTCAATTGTTATGATACACTATAATAGCTCAATTCTTCTCCTTAACATAGCAAATTTAAAACAGAGCAGTATCCTTTACTTGTGAACCGTTTAGAATAACAATGGGATACATAACGTAAGACAATATTGACCCCTCCTATTCTAATGTACACAGATCAATCGTTTAAGTATTTTTATTGAATCGTTACATACTAAACTTCCGTGTTTGCGCTCACTCAATAAATCACCTTTGAATAGTTTAAATTTTATGTTTTAAGTGAGTGAAAAAAATCTAAACGTTTATAAAATAGAATACGGAGAAAAGCCCTTTTTATATATGGATATTTATTTATAAATCTATGATAAAGATTAAAGTATTTTAAATGAAAAATATTTATCAGTATATCATTGTGAATGAAAAATTGAACAAATATAATAATTTAAAGTTATTTATTTATATTCGGTTACTGATATTAGGAAAATCATCAAAATAAAAAGTGTTAGTGAAATTAAAATGTTAAATAGGTATATTTAAGAACCATTACATAAAAAAGAGAAAACAACAATAAAACAAAACTTCTGGAAAAGTGTTTGCAATAATTTTTCAAAAATACACGCAATGAAAACCATTAAAAAATTGTTTATTTAATGAGTAAAGTTACTGTCAACAGTACGAATACTCAAACAGATTCCACTTTCAAAGGAACATCGAGTTCTATAATTTAAATAAAATTCTTACCTTAAAATTAATCCAAAATAATTTCATTTAAAATTATTCCATTTATATAACGACTATAGTAAGCAAAAAGTGTATATTTTCTTATTTTTATTAATACACCTTAATTTTATATTTCTTTTGCAGGATTTTCTATTGAAAGCGATTGTAAACATGTCCCAGTGCGCTCTATGTCGCGATATATCATCTAAATCGATTCTCTATGTTTGCGATTCTGGACGTATTTTGTGTGGAAATTGCCATGCAAATGGAACACCTGGTTTATCTTGTATGTATTTTCTACACATTACAGTTTACTTATACATATTTCGAAAACGTTATTTTCGACTTTCTTTAAAATCAGCTTAAACAAAGATAAAAAGGTAGACAAATTTATCTATGGCTTAAATAACTTTAAAATCAAAAGGCTTTGCATGTTTTGGATATGTTGCTTGTTCAGCATTTCTTTTTTTACTTTATCAATTCTTTTCTAGAGCATCACTTTTAATGGTTCTGTACTAAGACTCAGATATCCGTCCATCAAACCTTTTATTAAGCAATTTGTCATGATCTCACAATTGAAATTTACACATAAGATTATCAATAAAATAATACTTTTAAAAATCACCAGTCCCAGGTACCAGATGGGAAGCGAATCCATAATGCATTGCCTGAATATTAATCGGAATATGCCAAAAACTTGAGAAATTCGTGGGTTTTGCTTAGATGTCGGCTCGATCAATGGTAACAGCATTCGACCAGATAATGAAATGTTGTCGGTTTTAATCGGGCAATGAATTTTATTTAGTAACATTTTAAGATAAACATCATAAAACAGATTGTGAATTTAAAATCAATGAAATATAATAATCAAATAATTATTATTAAAAAAGTTCTAATTTCTAGCAGTACATGGCTAATTTAGTTATTTTAACAATAATACATTTAAGTAACAGAAGACAGGAATCCTTACTAGACCTCTCGTATAGAATCCCCTGCCCGCGTAGCATTATGAACTCGAGAGACTCGAGAAACTGGCGTAATTGAGGCCGGTGGACATTGTAACTTTATCGCTATCTCACTTTGGATCCATTTCTCGACTCATCATCATCATCATCATATCAGCCGAGAGACGCCCACTGCTGGGCATAGGCCTTGATTGTATTTCAAATTCGAGAGGTAGAGTCCAAACTGTCGAACTGTCCTATCTAGTGTTTGTTCCTTTGATTCTCTCAAAGTAACTAACACTAGATAAGTAAGTGAATAATTACTATATATAATTCAATTATAAATAAAGTAAGTATTTATTTTCACACTTATTTAGGTGCAAGGTTAGGTGATGGTGATTATTCAAATCACAAGCGAAAGAAAAGCCACAAGGAAAAGAAACCAATTAAATTAAAACCATGCAAGGATGATTTAGCTAGAGGAGACTTTAATAAAACAGAAATTGTTAACCAAAATGAGAATTGTCGTAGACAAGATGTAAATAATACAGATGATATTATAATAACATACAAAAATGACTTGTATAGAGAAAATCCATCAGATACTTCTATAGGTAGTATTAATGAAAAAAAAATACTTGAGAAAGATAACGCAGTTATGCAAAAACATCAGTCACTACACAGGTAAGATATTTTATAAGCAATCAACTTTGATCTGTATAGGTATAAGACTATTTACCATAGTTACAATACTGAATATCGTATCGCGGTCAAATAGCATATATATCATAATATTAAAGCTTGTGGGATGAGCTTACCTAGAGGAAACCTATTTACTCTTGCCTTTAATAATAATTGCGCATTAAAAGATGACCAATAGCGCTCAGTACGACATCTATGAATATCTATCTTATAAGGATGGTATTCCACCGTGCTTCTACATAGTCGATGGTAAAATGGTGAAGGGAAGATGAGCTCGTGCAACTCCTGCACTCACTCATTTCAGACTAGCAGGTAGCGATAGACTTTGGTTGGAAGCTTTAGAATTTGTTCTTCTTCCTCTTTGCCCTAGTATTTATTTTATGTTGCCTTCTCATAATAAATATAGTGTTTTTATAATCTTATATTCGTTTATTTCGTTGTTTCTTTATAATTTGTTATAAATAGAAAATCATAAATATTTGTAAGCTTATTTATTTCTTAACTGTATAATGGCAATCTTGTACACTTAGAACGAAATAATTTTGCTATATTTACTTTAAGCAGACGCTTTCAAATTCCAGACCACTTGCATGTCCCGTTTGTTCAAAAATTGTAGCGATGGATTCAATACTTCAACATTTTTTCTTCGATCATTCGAAAGTGCCTAGACATATATTAAAATTAAAAGCTACTCAAGAAATTCTACTGAAAGTATCAGATTTAGAAAGAACAATAAATTGTTTATCTGTAATCCTTTTAGAAGATTGTAAAAGGTAATTTTAAAAATTATAGTATCGTGAACTGAACCTAGAATATTTAAAAATAATATACTACACTATAAAAAGTTATACAGATTATTTAAAATTAAGATTAAAGATGAAAGATGAAGATGATTTCATCTTAAGTACCATTCTAAAGATTTATAATACGAGAAGAATATACTTAAATGTGACACATATTTTCTACCTATATCCCCTGGTCTGTGTCTCCACCGCGACACGAGCGTGTCACCTGCCCGCTATATGTAGCATGCTCGCAGTATGGTTGTTGTGACTTGCTTACTTTTTGCAGTCGAATTACCGCTAAGACATCCTTATGTGCTTTGCTTTCCTATGTACAGTCGGCCAAGAAAGTGGTCTACCACCCTAAGGTTGAATTTCGCGTGTTACGTCAACTAACAACAAGGTTGATTTTCCGTAGCATTAATTTTTTGACACGTCAAGTACACGTCATTATTGCTATCTTCATCATTTTGACGTAACCTTTGACAGTAATTATCTATACCTATAATAAAAATGTAACAAGGTTACATTTGTAAGATATTTTGGAAAAAAATATATGGACGGCCTTCATAAGACTAATAGAAGCCAAAAATTTTTTTTTTTCTGTCTGTCTGTTTGTATGTTTAAATACTTTAGAGTTAGAATATCGTAAATAGAGTTTTATAGTCTACAAATATCCTACATTATAATGTAGATTAATTATATTTTAATACAAATAAAAAAAATCAGCAGGTAGTGAAATACTATGCGTAAGAAGCTATGCGTGTAATAGGTCTGAATATACTGAGATAACGGATAACAGATAACAGAAATGAATAACGACGAAAAACATATTGCGCCTACCCATAGCTTAGTGCGAGACAAGGGCTAAAACTAGAAGAGATAGTGAAAATGCTAATTCTTTGGTTGTTAAAAAATATATACAATTCTTTTATAAAATTATAATATTTAAAATCTTGTGCAGCCGCTATCTGCCTCTATAACAGCTTGGAGACGTTCCCTCATCGAGCCCACCAGTCTTGAGCAGATATATCAGACCCACGTGTTTCCTCCCAAACCTCATTGCAGTGCCCTTGTAGTGCTTCTGCTGTTCGTTCATTACGGTTACACCATCTCTGAACCATAAGACCCCACATATTTTCAATAGAGTTGAGATCTGGCGATTTTGCAGGCCATGGTATCAAGTTTATTTCCGGATGTGCATCAAACCAAGCACGTGTTACCCTTGCTTTATGTAAGGGACAGTTATCCTGTAAATAATTAAATTGACGCATTTCATTTTCTGTATAAACGTTTCGGACGGATGGCAACATAGCATTTTGGAGAACATCAACATAATCTGATGCCGTTGCTCGTGGTGGCAAAAAGGTCAAGTCTCCAACACCATCAGCAGTCATCCATCCATACAAATTTACCGAGATACGACCCGATTCTCTATTTGGCACGACATGATTTTGCGTGTATCGCGTTTTATTGAATTGCCAAAGGTGTAGACGCCCGTGTTGACTGGATTTAAAAGTTTTCTCGTCACAGAAAACAGTGTTACTCCAATCAAAATCCAAATATTCTATGGCGAAATTTAATCTGGCCATTCTATGAGCGTCAGTCATATAAATTTTCTTTGCATAACGCCTGTGATGTAAGCCCATGTAATGTAAATGATTTCTAATGGTTTGGAGAGTCACGTCGAATATGTCGGCAAAATAACGCGTTGGTATAAAGCCAGATTCCTCATAACTCCGTCTCATGAAGACTCGCTGAGTATCTGATATTTCAGGTCTATGACCGCTACGACTCCGAGCGTTTAAATTCCCGTCCTCGCTTTCTCGTCTTATCCAAAGACGGACAGCTTGTCTCTATAATCAAAAATAAAATATGAACAGAAAAAATTTTACACTCGGACTTGGTCTGAGATTTTACATTAAACTCACGTCAGACATAATAATACTTACCGACACATTTAATTCTCTAGAAATCTCACTAATATTCAAACCATCATTGTGTAATGCGATTATTTGTGCTCTTTCGTTAATGGATAAATTTCGGGGCATTGTAGTGTAAATTAATTAGGAAAATACCTACGGAAAATGCCGAGAAAATATTTGACATGAATTGTCAAGTGATATATTCTTTTTCAGTAAAAGAGTTTTCGTAACAAAATAGTTTCCACTTTGAAGTGACCTACTTAAATTTTAAATTTATGAAATATTGTGAAGACTATTTGTTGTTGCAAATTATTATCTAATGCATAGGCTGCAAAGGTAAAAATAACATTTGTGCTCTACGACAACACGTCAGCATTGTGCATCTCTTTTATTGTTTGTATGCAATTCTAAGATTCGCCTTTAGCGATGCTTTAAAGACACGGGAAATGTTGTCAAAACTGGTAGACCACTTTCTTGGCCGACCGTACCTAATAAAGAGTAAGATGACAGGGACGAAGATACCCACCAAGAAAATTCTATGCGTAATACTTGCTTTATATGTAGTGAGCTTGTAAAATTGAGGTCCATATCCCCGCTTATACTACTATTTTCGAAATAAAAAACGAAGTTTCATTGTCATCTCTCATTGAAATTTTATGGAAAATAGAAGTAATATTTATTATTATTTTGTCTGAATTCAAAATTATTGTGTTTCTATTTAATTTTCTTTGTTTTGTCTATAGTTAAAGGTAGAAGTACCCTGCATGATACCAGGGTCTCAAACCTTGCCATGATGGTTTTGGCATATGTTGGTATCAAAACTGAATTGCTCTTTTATTTCTTCAGTGTTAAAAGTAACATTTCTTTTGTTTCAAATCGCAATTCATAATTATATCTAATTTGGATTCTTAAAATCATCAAAAGCAAATGTAGAGAAAATATAGAGAAGAATTATAATTAAATACAGGGGCAGGACTAAATAATTATGTATAAAAATACATACAACTGGATATAATTATGTATAAAAATACATACAACTGGATATAATTATGTATAAAAATACATACAACTTGTTGTGTTCATTTTATTCCAAATTATAATAGCATTTTCTTGGACCTTTTTCAAATGTTTCTTCTTACAGATGTTAGATCCTCAGCGCAGTTGTAATTAATAATGCCAATAAAGTAATGTCTCTAGATTCAAAATCTTATTTTTAATAGCGTTTCTTGAAAATACGGGATCGAAAGTTACTGATCTACCTTGCGCTCAGGTCTATGGGGTGCTCGCGGCGCGGTACTACAGATAGGGGTTGTTTTTGACAGATGTAGCCACTGGACCAGGAATTATAATAATAATAATTTATTGAGCAATTCAGTATACAAATGATTTACCTAGTTATAATAGTTTACTGCATGTGCACACCATAATTAAAAGTTAATGTATTTTGTAAAGTATTTATCACTGCTTCTATGTTTCAGCATGTATAATTCACCTTTACTAGTAATGGTTGCTCGATTGACTGATATTCCCTTTCAAGATACAAGAAATATGATAGGTTCTACGAGTCTCTGTCAAATTTCAAAAACTAGTGAATCTATAATTGACTCGAAAAATAAAAAGGTTTAGTTGTTTTAATGAACTGAATTTACTATCGAAATAAAAATTGCCTTTTAACATTTAACTTAATTTCAGCATAGCAAAATGTCTGATGATATTAATGATAAATTAGCAGAACTGAATTATGATTTGATATTGTGGATTTGCAAGACCGTCACTGCTGAAATTATATGCGATGTAATAATTTTTAATATAACTATAATATTGTAAGTTTTGGCTTCGCGAATAAAAACTAATTTCGTACGTTCATATTTTGTGCTCACTGGAAAAGAGTAAGTAATGATTTGTGGTAAGAAATCGAAATCAAACAAAACTAAATATTGTATATTCGAAATGCATTTCATTTCAGTTAATTTATAGTATTCATGAAAATCTTGAGTTTCTTTATGTAACCAATTAGCACAACGGATTAGGGATGCATGTACAATATACGCCTTCACAATTTGTGAAGCAATTTCCCTCGCTAGTGTAATCAAGATAATATTATATAGGAGACATCAAAAGATTCGTATAAGGTTCTATATGATAAAAATTAACTTACCCGATAAAACCTTGTTGATCGCACGGCAAACCTAATGGCAAATAGCACTTTTCACTATCGAAACTTTGCAATTTCTATAAACATTATTATGTCAATATCTATTTCCTTCGTTTTGCTATTTCATTTGAAGCTTACAAATTTTCTATTATTATTTTTTTTTTTACTTTAAACCTTTATTTAATAAGATGAATAAAGTTCAAGAAATAATTTATTAATTTCTACAAAATCATATTTACTATTTTATGTTTTTAAGTCTCTTAAACGCTCTTTATAAATATTGCTTTTAGACAAATAGGAAAGAGAACTCATATCGATCACTAAACAACAAAATAAATATTTACAGATTAAGCTAACAAGAGAAGATAAAAAAATGAGCTTTAGCTACACCGGTGATGCTACGCACATAAGAGATACGAAAAATGGTTTGAACATGTACCAGAAATCTGAATGTCTGATCATCAGACGCACGGCTGTTAAGAAATTAATCAACCACCGTGGAAACGTGCTTGTCTCTGTTACAGTTTTGCAAGTTGATAGTTAAAATATATTAATTAAAAATTTCTACTTATTTTTTATTGGTATTTTAAATACCAACACGTTGCAAAAATGTGTAAAATCTATATTTTGTTGTAAGATTCGGGTACATCAATAAATAAGTACCTATTTTATTAAACACATCAGAAGACATAGATCATAAATAGTTTAGCGGTAATTTGTTCATAATTTGTAAAGAGTTTATAGGTCGCTTTTACTAAGAATGTATATTAGTCTACATATTATATCATCATATCCTATCCTCACATGTCTAGGCCACCTCTATCATTTCTTTATTCAAAGACAATGAAAAACTTAAGTTTTTCAGTACTTAAATTTCTTAAAGAGATCATTTAACTAGAAAAGGTTTACCAATCAGATTTTTGAAGTTCAAATTAATAGGAGTGAGTAGATAATAAGAAATCTGTTTAATCTGATCTGAGACTGATTCCGGTTTCACAATGTCATCTTTAAAAGCTTAGTATAAACATTTCAAATAAAATAGAAGTATATAAAAAATTACTTTATTGCTATCTTTATTAAAAACAATTAACTTATGTATCAGAATTGATTACAAAATTTCTCAACTTCCATGTAATTTTTGGACAGATCACGTATCTTCCTTTTTTCTTTATCCAAATAGATGCGAACTTTTTCTTTACCACATTTCTTAGGAGTCTTCAGTTCATTTTGAAAGTAAATTTCATAATCTGAGCCAAGATTAGTATTATCCTTATCAGGAGTAGGTTTAATATTGTCCTTTTTTAGTACTTGAAAAGGATCATTTGTTTTATACTTGATGTTAGTAGGATTATAGAAATCAGATGACATCCCGAAAGCTGTATCCGTACTTTGCAATAAATTTTCTATTTCTGGTAATTTGAAGTTGGACATTTGTGGATTGGCTGTTGTACTACCCATGACTTTAATACTTTTCAGTTCAACCCTATAAATAATACAAAACTAATTGATTTCTTATATTTTCACGCGCACAATCCATAAATTAAACAACTTTTAAACGTTTTTATCGCGTTCGAACTTAATTTTGCTGATGTTTCGGACTTTTTACAGGTTCCGTATTCATATAAGTCTGAGATGTTGATTGTTTTTTTAATTGAAAGTATAGCTACCTTCAAAAACCAATGATATTGTACTCATTTTATGGCAACGTATATTTATTGAATTAAATTAATTTAATTCATTTGTCTTAGAACACCTAGGTGAACCAGGGGTACAAAAAATTTACCGAGGAATGCCTAGGTGAACCACTGGTGTTCCATGGGTCAGAAATGTTTATTTACCCTTTGCTACCGTAATCTACCACCAGTTCCAACTTAGGGAGTCTTGTCTGAGAAGAACTGGCGAAATAAACTTCGACAAGAAAAGTGAATTGCTCCCCTTGATTTAAAATTTACAGAATGAACTAACTGCATATTTTGGTTTTGAAATGTGTGATCTGGATTGAGATTTCGTTTGTCTTATTACTGGATCCCAAACGTCAATAAAACTAAATACAAACGCGTTGAAACCGTTTAAAAATTGTTTCATTTATACAAAAATAAGTTAAACCTATAAATCTTTTTAGGATTTTTCCTTAGCTATTTATATTTTAAGTTTCGCAGTTTATTCCATCACCAGCGGGTTTGCCGACTCTCCTTAATTATGATTTGTAAATTGATTCAGAATTTTTTTTTTCGTTACTATTTTGAGTTCATACGTCATGCGAAATTAACCTAACCATTCTAAAACTCTAATCAAACTTTGATGTCAATTTAATAGATTATATGATAAATCCGCTTAGTCACACACTGATCAAATTAATAGATAATAGAGGAACGTAGTTAGCGGGTTGGGCATATGAATCAGAAATTAAGAAAGGACCGTTCTTGGGATGAATTACCAATTTACCATTGCGAACTCCTCTGTGCTTCGGAAGACATGTTAAGCTAGTAGTCCCAGCTTCATTTGCAGTCGTTTCCATTAATGATGATACTAATCAAACTTTTTAAACTCACCCATAACTAGCATCATCAGCATAATATTTCACTTGTATTGGGTTTCCTTCGTTATCTGTATAAGAATATTTACCAACCACAGTTCCGTTAGAGAACTGTTTTTCGTTTTTAAAGAGTTTGTTATCTAAATCAGATTTCACTATCGGATAACCTGTAAGGTAAAATTAAATTTGAAAAATCTCGTATTTACGATCGTAAATTATTGAAATTATATTTGCTTAAAGTTTTTTAATGATAATATTACGAAACCATAACTATCTTTTTTACTCGATTATAATACAGCATTAAGAATCTGTTTGAAACATGTTAGCATTTAAGTTGACAACGAGAAATATGAGTATGCCTAATAGGCATATTACGTATTTATCATAGTTCTTCAACGAAAGGTTCTTAACGGAACCATCCAGCCCACTCATTCATTCCTAAAGTAGGTACTCGGTAATTGATATTAACAGAAAATGATGTGTGAAAAAAGAAAAAGAAGTATTTGTTGAACTTAAATGAAAAACTACACAATTACAAGAGCAGAAACTGGACAGAAATATCTAATATTTCGTGTGTGTATATATAATGCCAACATTAAAGTCAGTATAACCAGCTGACAGAAATAACTGGTTGTACTGATATCCTGTTGACGTCAACTGAAACTTGACAATTTGAAAAAATATAATAAAAGATACTTAAAATAGCCAACTACGAAGAAACACATTAATAAAGAAATTCTCTTCACAAACTTCGGTATCATAATTAAGCGTTTTGAAAAACATATAAGTACACGAGTTTAGATCAATAAAAATATCAAGTAAAGAAGCAAAATGACTTCAATTTGACGTGAATCAAAGTCAAAGTGTCGTAGAGTATTATATAAACTTCAAAAAATCACCAAAGAGCAAAATAGTTTTTACATAGTTTTACGTTTTGGTGGGTATTAATAACGTCTGCAGATGCAACCGAGACCATGGCTTAATGTGCCTTCCGAAGCACGGAGGAGTTCGAGGGAGTTGTTTAACAACTATATCGCAGACCTCTTCAAGCTTACTCAAGAAGTAGATGATAATTAATGAAAATCTACAAAAATTCAAAATCCTTTATTAAGACAAATTAATCTATTGCGTAATAGCTTGGTGGTAGTAATGCGTTATTTGGGTTGATTTGATTATTAATCGGTAGTTTTGTGATGAAATTTGTGTTTATATTATTCTTTTTAGGGCGAGACCAAGTTATCGATGACTCAGATCCACCAGAGCCCGCATGTTGGGGGCGTACCGTTGTTTGTAAGTTGTTTTCTACCCTAAAAATAAAACACGACTTATTATTATAGGCTAACACATTTACCTAAAGCGGTATTTCTATTTTATTTATTTAGATCCAGCCAGATGTGTGATGTGTGATTTATATTTAGTATGGTAGTGATTATATGAGCCTCGTCCCGCGTGTCGGGCAAATGTATGAAAACGAATCTTGGCGCAACGTGGCTCGGGTTAATAATAGCTGTAATAATTTTACCAAAGTCGTCAATGAGTGTTTAGATAAAAAAGATTCAAAAGCTTTGTATAACTGTACACAGGTTTACACTTATAAATCTATGTTAAAATAATAAATTCCCTAATTTAGTATTTTTTTAAAAAGACAACTACATTCATTAGGCATGTAACTATCTTCTAATATCTCAATAGGTATATTGAAGTTTAAAATCATAATGATAAAAACTCACTTACCTATACCCTGCCTTATCAGCAACATATCGATAACTTTGAAATCGTCCGTTAGCGTCCGTGTATCCGTAGTTACCTATAACTGTACCATTTGGGTAACGTTCTTCATTTCTAAACTGAACATTGCCAGTGTAAGGATCTAATATGTCGTATCCGAATGCATATGTACCAGGATAACCTGTCAATCATAATTGAAAAATTAAGAAAATTACAATAAAATTAGGATATCGCTACCTCCGGAGAATAATATGATAAAAACGATTGTCATGTTTTTAGTGTTATTGCATTTTTGAGCTCCTCGTGGTCCAATACACCTTGTGAATTTTTTCCAGATATTTCCTACGAGTATTTACAAAGATACAAATATTAGCATGATATTCAACGAATTCAATGTTTTTATTTATGCCTAGAACAACAATATTTAATACATTAGCAACATAAATATAACTGTTTACGCAGACATTGTTACTTTATCATGTTATTCGCGTAAGAAAATCAGGCGATTGTATTGATATATGCTATTAGCATGGTATTCTTGTACAAACACAACAGTTTAGATAGGTTTCTCCACCGGTTTTGACAAAAATTTTCTATATGTAAGTAATAAATTTTTTAGGTATGTTCATCAAACTTAACAATTACCTACACCCATCTACGATTATCTGTCACAATTTATTTCTTTTACGTTTTATCAACAATAAATACGTAAACAGACGTAAACTTATTACATCATTATCTAAGAAAAATATTGTTTTAAATATTAAGCTAAAAAAGTATTATATTAAGTATTATAGACTAGGAGATCGTGACGACAATGGCAATTTATAGTGCAACACACTTCAGCAGAACCTATAAAACGTATGACATTAGACCGCAAGAATAATATAATTCAAAGCGTAAAATACTATTTACCCATAAATAACACGAAATTACAAGAATGTAGACTATTTTTCAAAAATACATTGAATGTAACACATCAAACTATATATACTGCTTTAGAAAAAGCTCAATCTGCAAATGGTTTTCATGACCGTATACTGAAGATAGTATAAAGAAACATATTGAACTATTCCCCACAATTGAATCACATTATGTCAGAGAAAAATCCCAAAAACTATACCTTTCATCATACTTAAATATTTCAATAATGTATCGTTTTTATAAAGATTGGTTCAAGAATCAAAATTACGATGAAGACATAGAGATTGGAACACTAAGACAATACCAAACTGTTTTTAATACTCACTACAATTACTCCTTTTTGTGCCCAAAAGAGATTTGTGCGGTAAGTGTGAATTATATAAACAAGCTGATGATAACAAGAAACAATTGTTGCAAGAAGACTATGATAAATATATAAAAAACAAAGAAAGAGTTTGGAAACTGAAAGAGGAAGAAAAGAAGAACCTTGATCATAATAAAAGTACAGTTGCAATTTTCGATTTGGAGAAGGTGTTGAGTATACCAAAATTTCAAGTAGAAATATTACACTACAAAAGGAAATATCCAATTTACAATTTACTGTCTATAACTCGGTGCTCCGACAAGGATTCTGTTACGTGTGGCACTATCAACTAGCAAAAAGAGGAGCAATTGAAATTGGCAGTTGATTGTGGCAGTTTTTGAACACTGAACATGAACGTGGCATTGAACATATTTCCTTTTATTCTGATGATTGTGCAGGCCAAAATAAGAATAAATTCATATTTGCTCTTTAAATTAAATCGATTCTTTAAAACTGGACACGGGCAAAGTGAGGCTGACAGTATGCACTCTTGCGTAGAAAGAGAAAAATAAAAAGATATACACCCCAGATCAAATGTAATTCAAAATGCAAAGGCTACCGGCAATATATTTATAGTTAAAGAAATGGAACAGTTCAATTTCTATGACATTAAAGTTCTTGTTGCGGGAAAACATTGGGTGCGAGACGTACAAGACAATAAAATTTTATGGTTTAAAGTGATGGAAGTTAAGGTGTTTAGCAACGAACCAAAAATTTTACGCTATGAGTATGATTTTGATAATGATTATTCCATTTTAAACACAGAAGTTTCATCAAGAGTTATGGAACGAGTCGGCCGTGGTCGAAAAACTGCAGCAGCTTCGACTGCAATTTATGATGTTGAAGACTTAAAATGTGCTTACAGTAAACTGATTCCAGTTACTAAAGCTTTATACAACGATTTAAAGAGTTTGTGTTCATGTGAGGTTATACCTCGGCACTATCATTCATTCCATACGTCTTTGATATCGACAGATCAAGAAGTATTGTCATCAGAAGAGGAGGACGAATTACCTTAGTTATAAAAGTACCTTAGTTATAAAAGTCCTATAGTTTGATTCCCATGATGAGTGCCACGATGATTGATCCAATTATAATTAATAAATCATAGTCTAATAATTTTCTTTTTAATTTAGAAGTATTTGTCTTTAGTTTAAAAATTAAAAAAAAAAAATAGAAGTTTTTGTTTTATATTCATTAAAAAGATTATTTTGAGCACTGGATATTTTTTTTAAATTACCCTGAATAACATTCTAATCGACTATTAGCACATACTCTCTCTCAGGTTATTTTACCAGAATAACATGACAATAGTTTATTATTGTAAAACATTTTAAGTGTCATTTTACTAGAATAACATGACAATAGCGTATTATTTTAAAACATTTTAGGAAGGATTTTTGCTAATATTTATTTTTGCGATTTTTTCGATTCTTGTAAGTGCTTTTCCACGAAACATAACTCACATCGTTACGCTAAAAAATTAGCTTTCATTTGATATATCATTCTTCGGGATAGCTTTTCAAACAAAGGAGTTATTAAACAAAATCGGTTTTTTATTTTTCCTGAACATTTTGGTTTTTGCAGTTATCATATTATTCTCCGGAGGTAGCGATATTATGACTTCCATGGAACTGGCAAAACTATGTCGTATTAATCGGATGACGCAAATTTTAATAAATATGATACGTATTTTAAAGAGAAGTAATTAATAGACATTTAGAATTAATGAATGGATGATTAACAACAATTTGTAATAATACTAAATATAAGACTATAATATATTTATATTTAAATTATTACAGTAGCGAATTTGAAAATTTATAATTATGTATTATTTATTTTTTATAAATTACAATAATAAAAACTAATGCTCCTCCTTTCTATAATTGTTGTGCCCGACAGAGTCCATAGTGAGACTAACTAAATTATGTAACATTATTATAAATTACCTATGGAAACAATAAAGTAATTGAGTATTGACGCAAAAATATTTGATAGCACTTCGATTTTTCTTTCCCACGTTTCACGTCCGCGAATGATTTTAGGGAGAAATTGAAGAGCGTACCTACATTTTCATTTTAATTTTTAAATATATAAATATAATTTTCAGCAATAATCTAACCGCATAAATTATTTATAAACTTCTCTTGAATTATGTCTACAAATCGTTTTAAAAAAATTCTAAGTGATTAGGACTTACCATCAATATTCGTAAAGTAGTAACTTGGCGATGGCTCTCCTAGAGTAAGTCTTGCTTTTCTCGAGGATGGAATAATTCTTGCAAGACTAGTTATTGGAATCGTTAATAAAAATATCTGTAATAAAAAACATTCTTATAGCATACTGTTAATTCGAGATAATTAGAAATCATTAATGAGGAACGGCAGCAATAAAAGTTTCATTTGAATCTATACTAATCGCTGACAAAATCTGGACTAGAATTATCAAAAAAAGGGTAACATATATTTGGAGAGGTCTATGGCTATACACTAATAATAATAAATGAATTAATAAGAGAAAAACTTGTAATAAAATAAAAAAAAATATTCGACAATTCAAATACTTTACAAACTCCGTGGTAGTTGATATTCAAATAATGTGTTTTTCTTACAATGCGTTGAAATATACAGAAACTCAATAAGGATTCTAAATGAAAGAAGATAGCTATTAAAAACTTTATAACAATTTAAAAGTTTAATCAATCCAAGTTGTAAAGAGAAACATTACGATAACAAACTTAATTTCTATGCATTAAAGAAACTATACTCTTGACATGTTATTATTTTTCGTATCTAGAAACAAAGATATTAAAAACGATACTCTATTAACGTTTAACTAATGAATAAGTCTACATTTTTAACATGAACATTATTATTTTACAGTAAAATAAAATATGCACCTAATTTATTCCCTTAACAAATGCTTCAAAGGTCAATCAACAACTTAAGATTTTTAATGAATCCCGTAAAACAGTTCTACTCAAGAGTATAATATTATTGTTATGAGAGAAATAATAAACTTTCAACTTTTACATTAAAAAACACTTAAATTTAATAGATGGCTATACTATGACATATTTTAGAAATAAGGTTTTAAGAGCCTTAAGGAGGTTCCTATCGATTAATTAAAATAATGTGCTTGTTTATTTATACCTTTGCCGTGGAAATGTTGTTTATACAATTAAATAATTATTTTGATTTGATTATGATTAATTGTTATAGGACCTCTGAGTATAAAATATGTTATTAAGTTTTTTTCTAGTTCACGTAGTATTCTAGACTCCTTTTTAAATATTTCTTATTTGATTTAGAAATACAAATAAACACAGAAACTCGTTTTACCTTTACAACAAGATCCATTTCCGTACAACTCTATCACTTCACAAATATTACTCAGGATCCTGTGATTTGCTTTCGTAACTTAACTATCACTGCGAGTTAAATCCTCAGTGTTGTCGTTTTAGAGGCTTTTAGCCGGCGAAAAAAAAGGAACTACACACACGTGTAATATAGTCTAAAGTCTGTGGGTGAAGGCAATTTCGCCCATATCCGCTTAACACTGTCGTGATGTCATGCCATTAGTTGCAGGATAAGGAATTGCCTTTTACGAGAAGACTAAAGCAAGTTTACGTAGCTTGTACTGTTATCTCCAAATAGTGTTACCTTATTTGAATATATTAATATTACCCATTTGGAAGTAGCCGAAAATAATTAAACATTATTTGATAATTGACATAATTATTGTATTCAAATCCAATTAGATTCCAATGCATAATTTTTTATTATCCCAAATGTTCAAGAATAAATCACCTTAAGGATGGAATCATACAGTGAGATGTTCTAAACTTTAGTTGAATTTTAGGCATTTAAAGTATTTGTATCTTTTAGCACTAGTTCCTAAGTAATAAAGCCCTAACTCTAAAAAGCTTTTTGCAATAGGAATCCAACAGTATCCAAACTTATAGACAATATATCTAGAAAAGTAAATTTTGCTCAATTACTCGATCAGAAAGTGTAATTGAGAAATTGCACCTATTCACAAAAGAAACCACGGAAGACATAATAATGTCCAGAGCTTCTCAAACTTATGCTCTTTAGTACTCTCCCACGTCGTACTAGGTCCAAATACATGCTACATATTCCATTGCATTGCACCAATTATGGTCAAACCTCTGTACTCTCTAGGTTACCCAAGCTTTATAATAGTAAATTTAGTAACGTCGACCCCTTTGTTGGTTCTAAAAAACAATTCCTATACAGAACCATTCATTGTTTGACTGAACATGAGTAGACCGTATCGCAATAACATTATCTTTTTATTTTATTTTTTGTTACAAAAGTATGTTAAGGGTATATTCATTTATT